GGGGGGGGGGGGGGGGGGTTGGTTATGTTATTAGATTTTCTCTTTTGATAACACAATCATGAAGTACTGCCATGTGTTCTATTCTTCAATCAGATTCTCATATTTCAGTTTTGTATGCTTGTTTGTTTTTTTTTTTCTTTTTTTCTTTTTAGGTTTCTTTTTTGTGTGAATTTTCTTGTGGAAAACACCAAGAGGCTTAATCTTTTTTCCTGCTACCTGAACTCCAGCATGCATGCAGTTTCTTTAACTCACTTGTTCTGTTGGTGTTGCTAGGTTCCTGGAGCAGATGGACTTGTCATCAGAGTTGTTTCATCAGTTGACAAAAAGTTGGAAGTTAAACAAAGGTTTCTTGAAATTTTTCAGGAAGAAAATTACCCGTTTGAGTTCCCTTACAAGTCCAAGGTACAAAAAAGAAGCACGATGGACTATTACTGGGACCATTGTATTGTTTGTTTTCTAGATATATTGATTTAATCTTCTAGTGTATCATGAGTTGCTAGGTTAGATATCAGTATTATCTGAAGCTATCTTCTTTAAAATCTCTTGCCAGGCAGTTCTATTGTTTCAGAAGATTGAAGGTGTAGAAGTGTGCCTATTTGGCATGTATGTTCAAGAATTTGGGTCTGAATGTCAGTTTCCTAATCAGCGCCGTGTTTATCTCTCATACCTTGATTCAGTGAAGTATTTCAGACCTGAGATTAAGACATACAATGGGGAGGCTCTTCGAACTTTTGTTTACCATGAAATCTTGGTTAGTTTCATTATTTCAAATACTCTATCTAAACAAGTATTATTTCATATACCTGTGAGTGATTTTAGTCATGTCCTTTGTTATTGAGTTATCTACGAGAATATATTGTCTTTTATCCTTTCAGATAGGATATCTTGAATATTGCAAAAAACGGGGCTTCACAAGCTGCTATATATGGGCCTGTCCTCCATTGAAGGGTGAAGATTATATATTATACTGTCACCCAGAAATCCAGAAAACTCCAAAATCTGATAAACTTCGGGAGTGGTAAGAGAGAGTTCATCAAACCTCGGGATAACGTTATACTATTTCTATTTTCTCTAGCTTCAAATATAAGCATTTTATTATTTTCTTACTCCTTATTTTCCATGTTGTTCAATTTCAGGTATTTATCAATGTTGAGAAAAGCTGCCAAGGAGAATATTGTTGTTGATCTTACTAATCTATATGATCATTTCTTTGTCTCCACTGGTGAGTGTAAAGCTAAGGTTACAGCAGCAAGGCTGCCATATTTTGATGGTGATTATTGGCCCGGTGCTGCGGAGGATTTGATTTATCAGCTTCGCCAAGAAGAGGATGGTAGAAAACAGAACAAAAAAGGAATGACTAAAAAGACAATAACAAAGAGAGCTCTAAAAGCATCCGGTCAGTCTGATCTTTCTGGTAACGCGTCGAAGGATCTGCTACTAATGCATAAAGTAATATCTCTTTTCCAGAACCTTCTTTTTTCATATTTCGATGTGGTGCCACAATTTTTATTTTTATTTTTATTTTTTTAACAAGAAACAAATTTTTCATTCGTGAAATGAAAAGAGACTATTGTTCAATGATACAAACTCCACTAGAGAGAGAAAGAAGGAAAGCAAGGAAAGACCACCCCTGTTAAAATGACCAACAGGCACACGAATGACCGTTCCTTCTGCCTGTGTTTAGCCATACGATGCACTCAGTTATCCATTTGAAGAACGTAGCTTATGTATTCTGACGGTACCAAAATGAGCTCTCTCTTGCTAAAAGAACTCTGCAAAAACAACACCCTTCATTAACTTGTCCAAATAATATTTCAAACCAAACAAGGTGAGAGAAAAATTGAGGAATGACTAAATTAAGACTCAAATCTTCAATGAAGGAAACGGTCATCTTCAAAAACAAATATGGAAATACTTGATGTCAATATAACAGCTACTATGCTCATGACAAAGCGACTTTGATAAATAATACATAACCAGGAAATCAAAGAACCTCACGAAACTGAACCAAAACAGCAAACCAAACCACACTGACTTAAAGGTAAGGAGTACCTAACCAGAGCAGCAAACCAGCAACCTGAAGGAGAAAAAGAATATGGCGATGGAGAAGGACAATGAAGAAGCAACTGGCGACAAATAGAGTAAACAGGTAGGAGAAAAGAAAACCCAATAACGTCGAGAACCCTCAATGACAGTAGACGACTGGAGCCGGCAAAGATGATAACCATGGAAGATGGCAATGGTAAGATAGAGGAGAAATTAAAAACCAAAGACAACGAAGCCCCGTGCAAGAGAGACAAAAGACAAAACGAAAAACCATGACGACAATTATCTCTCATTTGTAACTTTATATGTATGCATATATATTAGAAAGTTTTGCCCGTTCCTGTTAAATTGAAATAACATAGTCTATCCTGCAGTATGTTCTTTATTTGGGTGTAATTTAAATTGTAATGCTGCAGTGAGGTGGCACTAAACCTATTAACCCAAATTGATATCTTTTGTTTCTCCAGCTCGGTGAAACAATTTCTCCAATGAAGGAAGATTTTATCATGGTTCATTTACAACACGCTTGCAGTCACTGTTGTATTCTTATGGTATCTGGAAGTCGATGGGTTTGCAACCAATGCAAAAACTTTCAGCTTTGTGATAAGTAAGAGCCCCCAATTATCTCATGTTTCTTTTGCTGCACTTTGTTTATGTTTATATATATATAGATATATATAGATATATATATATATATATGTAGTGTTGTACCCTCCTTCATGGTTTAGTTTGATAGGCTATTTGTCTCAGCTTGGTTTGATTGAAGTCAATTTCTGCTTTTGATCTGATGAGCAGTGGGAAAAAACAAATCCATTTAGAATCCTAAATCATTCCCTCCTTTCACCAAACTAATAATTACCAAATCTCTTCTTTACATAAAGGTTAAAAATTTTTTTTTATCTGTATTACAAATGCAATTTTACCTTTTTGCTATGAATTGTTATTTCTTTACTGAATCCAAAATCTGGATTATATCATTTTACAATTATTTTTCATCATCAACTGAAGAACTTAAAGTAGTCTTTCATTTTATGGTTTTTTGGAAATACATGTGACTTCCATCGTTATTATTATTTTTTGTTTTATAAAATGAGTATTGGGTTTTCACGGAATTTCTCTACCAGACTTCTATGGGGGTATATATATTATATAACATTTTTGTGCTGGGATGATACTACAAAAGGTCCTTATAAAGAAGATATTACGAAAGAAAATTTCAAAGCAAGAAAAGTTGTAATTCATTCATTTGGAGTATAATTATTAGGTTTTGTAATCCTCATTTTTGCTCAATTGAAATTCTGATATTTATGCATTGTTTTTACCTTATATTCAAAAGTAACTGGTGAGTGATGGAAGGGGATGGTTGCTTTGTCCATGTCCCAGCTATTGGCTTCTGCGTTGCCCTTTTAATTGATAGAGTTGGCAATGGCTTATCTAGATATTTCTGTATATTTTTATTAAAATGAACTGGGAATGGTGTCTAGATATTGATGGTGACTTGAGAGCATATTGTTTCAACGCAAGTAATGGGCAGAAGTTTTAGGCTTTTTTCTTATATTCTTTAATGACCTTTTCTTACGTTCAAAACCAACAGGTGAGTGCTGGAAGGTGATGGTTTCTTTGTTCATTCCAGCTATTCACTGCGGTTTTGCCATTTTTTTTATATATAATTTTTATAATTTTGTAATTTACTTCATAGCTGATAGTGGTTTTTCCATTGAAATATTTCTTTGAAGACCAGCAAATAGCTCCTGAAAATACTTCCTTCAGTACTTTGACGATCATCTATATCACCTGCATAGTATGTTTTTTCAACATGAATTGGAAGTGATGTCTAGTATCGATGTAAACAAGGGAATATATTCATTGTCCAGATATTTCCTAATCAATTTTTTCTTTTTATTTATTTTTTTAATGTAAGAAACAAGGAAATTGTTCTTTCTAAAAGTCAAGTTTCAAAACAGAACATATTTACTTTGTTTAGTTGAATTTGTGTGGTTCTTAACTTTGTGGTTGTCCATTATGGTAGTGGCGGATGGAAAATTTGAAAATGATGTTTCTTTTCAAACAACCTATGGTTTTTTTACTTTCCCTGATGCGATGTCTGATCACAGGTGCTATGAGGCAGAGCAAAAACGTGAAGAAAGAGAGAAACATCCCATAAATCAAAGAGAAAAACATTCCCTCTATCCCGTATGTTTTCAATTCCATGGAAATATATTCAGCATTTTTGCATATAGTTGTTGATGTAACTGTTGTCTGCAAAAATAACATTTTGTCCAACAAAGGCATGAAAATGTTTTAAAGCATTTATGTATCTTTCATCTGTATATATTTTTTACTTCATAATTAATACGAGGTTGCTGACTGAACTCTGCAGGATGAAATCGGTGACGTGCCTGTTGATACCAAGGATAAAGATGAGATTCTTGAGAGTGAATTTTTTGACACCAGGCAAGCGTTTTTGAGTTTGTGTCAAGGAAATCATTATCAATATGATACTCTTAGGCGAGCTAAGCATTCTTCAATGATGGTCCTTTACCATCTTCATAATCCAACTGCTCCCGCTTTTGTCACAACTTGCAATATATGTCATCTGGACATAGAAACTGGTCAAGGTTGGCGTTGTGAAGTTTGCCCTGATTATGATGTATGTAATTCCTGTTACCAAAAAGATGGGGGCATTGATCATCCTCACAAGTTGACTAATCATCCTTCCATGGTTGATCGAGATGCACAAAATAAAGAAGCTCGGCAACTACGAGTCATGCAGGTGTAGTGGATATTTCTTGTTATTGCATTAACCGTTGGCCTATATATCCTACTGTAACTTTGAGTTTTGACTAAAATTCGATTGATGTTCTGGTCTTTCGTTGGGTGGTCGTGTTATTATTAATTCTTTTATCCCATGTGTTCCTGCATCCATTCAATTTTTATTTTACTTGATTTTCTATATCTTACTGTTGTTAGTTTAACGTTGCAGCTTAGGAAAATGCTGGATCTTCTGGTGCATGCATCTCAATGTCGTTCTGCACATTGTCAATATCCAAATTGTCGGAAGGTGAAGGGGCTTTTTCGGCACGGAATACAATGCAAAACACGTGCATCTGGTGGTTGTGTTCTCTGCAAGAAAATGTGGTACCTCCTTCAGCTACATGCTCGAGCTTGCAAAGAATCTCAATGCCATGTACCCCGTTGCAGGTAATGTTGACATCCTTCATTTTCTTTTTCGTTTTTTTGGGCATGCATTCCTGTGATCTATGTGTGTATTGTGTGTGTATAATATTATCCATCTGCTTGCATATATGTAGTGGTATCTATGTGTGTAGTTACTGAGGTTAGAGAGGTCCAATTCTTAATGTATTCCAGAGATCTCAAAGAGCACTTAAGGCGGCTGCAGCAGCAATCTGATTCACGAAGAAGAGCAGCTGTGATGGAAATGATGAGACAGAGAGCTGCAGAACTGAACAATACTGGGTAACCAATTTATAGGTTTTACATTACAACTATTGACGACCTCGACATGTACGGTACGAGGTTGGAAATTTTTTGAAGCCACTCTTGAAAGAGCACGTCTAGGAGGGAAATCAGGCAGTGAGCGACAGACGACACCGGTGGAAGCGGTAGGACAATACACTCTTCTACATAATGGTTAAATATTCAGGTTTAGGGAACAATTCTTTTATTCTATATCTACGTCTTGATTTTAACCCTATAGAAAAGCCAAGCGAGACCTGAGCAGCAGCTGCCATCTTCGTCATCGACCTGGTCGAACATTGCTTCCAAGTTCTAATCGATAGTTTTTCCTTTTAATCTGTAAAATACCATCTTCCAGTTGCATGTGTACCCAATCCCCTGTTTATAAGATTCAATAATTAGCTTCAGGAAATGCCCAAGGAGACGTACATTTACTTGGGAGCTTTACGTGTATAATTTGGCTTCTACATTATTTATAGATGAACAACTTCCGTTTGTACCGTTACCCTTGTAGATTTTGAAGCAATGTTTTATATTAGCAAATGTGAACTCTTGTGCAGATCAGTTAGAATCTCATTCCACGACCCAAATGGCATTTCATCATCAAACTAACACGCCCACGCCCAGGCATCCGTGACGAGGAGGAAAAAAAAAAGGGGATCTAGGCCTTTTGGGGGGATAAAGGCATAACATCGAATCCTCCTTTTTCGTCGAATGTCCTAGGCCTGATTTAGGGAAAGAACTTTTTCTTTACTCGTCGGGGAAAACCATTCAAGCGCCAAGATGGAGATGGTTCTGCTGCAATAGAGGATGAAGGAGAATCCGTAGGAACTAGTCATTACTAGAAGATGAGAGATGATGGCGGCTCTGAATTTATTATTAGAAGAGCGAGGTGCAAATGCTGGCTACTCAATAGAGGGCTGCGACCCTGATTTTTTTTTTAATTTCATCAAACTAACATGTCCAGTCATCTGTGATGAATTTCATCAAACTAACATGTCCAGTCATCTGTGATGAATTTCATCAAACTAACATGTCCAGTCATCTGTGATGAGGAGATAGACCCTGATTCTTTTGTATTTCATCAAACTAACATGTCCAGTCATCTGTGATGAGGAGATATCTGAGAACAAGTAATCACATGGCGGAGAACTAGTTACTGGGAGATATTCATTTTAACTTTTGTTCAATTTTTGCCAAAGATTTATAATAATAAAAAATAGACGATCTTTCTAAAAGCACATATTTTAACTAAAATCAAAATTTTTACTACATTTTTAGAGTCCTACTCTTATCAAACATACATAAGCATATTGTTTTATACTATTCTTCAAATAATAATTTATTTAAAAGTAATTAAATATCAGGTCGAGTATTTTTTTAGTCTTTTATTAGAAATAAAGGTAAAAACAAGTCTCTATATTGAAAAATAATAATAATAAAAAAAAAAAACCCTAGGTCTACGATTATGGTATATATTGACCATGTTATCCATGTTTGAATTGACAATAGAATTTTGAGTTAAATTTGCCCTGTTTTCCACCGTCATTTGATCTGCTATCATGACTCATGGTGTAGAATACACAACCATATCCCAGAGTTGTTCATCTTTGGCTTACTAGATCAAGTGAAGGGGACACTTTTATCGGTACGTTTGTCACTTGTATTTTCTTTTAAGTATACATTATTGAAGAACAACATTCGTTCTCTTTAATTTACTCAAGGGCTTGAATTATGGAAGATAGTTGATGTTTGTCTAGGAGATGGAACCACTCGACGTGGTTAAGCTTTTAAAGTTGACGGGAAGAAAGTAATGTCTCTGGTCGTATTTGTTGGTTTAGCTCTTAAATTTTCATATTCTCTTTAAACGCTCATTGATTTGATAAGAGCATACCCATGAGCCTGTTGTTTCAAGGATTATGGAAATGGCGGGGAATGGATTTATTAGACGTCTCACGGGTGACCTTTTATTTCTTGATTCATCGCCTCTTTCCAAGCTCTTGAACCAATGTGCTCGCTCGAAGTCAGCTAGAGACACGAGTCGTGTTCATGCTTGCATAATTAAATCGCCCTTTGCGTCCGAAGTTTTTATCCAAAATAGGCTCATTGATGTATATGGGAAATGTGGATGTGTGGATGTTGCTCGCAAGGTGTTTGATAGAATGCTTGAGAGAAATATTTTCTCTTGGAACTCCATTATTTGTGCATTCACTAAGTCCGGATTTCTTGATGATGCTGTCCACATCTTTGAGAAGATGCCTCAAGTTGACCAATGCTCGTGGAATTCTATGATTTCGGGTTTTGAACAACATGATCGCTTTGATGAAGCTTTAAAATATTTTGTTCAAATGCACGGTCATGGATTTTTTATGAATGAATATTCATTCGGTAGTGCTCTCAGTGCTTGTGCAGGTTTACAAGATTTGAAAATGGGTTCCCAAATCCACAGTTTAATATATAGGTCAAATTATTTATCAGATATGTATATGGGCTCTGCTCTAGTAGATATGTACTCTAAATGTGGAAGAGTTGATTGTGCTCGAAGTGTTTTTGATGGAATGACTGTGAGAAGTAGAGTTTCCTGGAATAGCTTGATTACGTGTTATGAACAGAACGGCCCAGTTGATGAGGCTCTTAGTATTTTTGTCGAGATGATCGAATGTGGGGTCGAACCTGACGAAGTAACTCTTGCAAGTGTTGTTAGTGCGTGTGCAACTGTCTCGGCAATCAAAGAAGGTCAGCAGATTCATGCTCGAGTTGTGAAATGTGATGAATTTAGAAATGATCTTATTTTAGGCAATGCGTTGCTTGATATGTATGCTAAATGTAATAGGATTAACGAGGCTAGAATAGTTTTCGATCGGATGCCAATTAGGAGTGTGGTGTCTGAAACCTCAATGGTAAGTGGATATGCAAAAGCATCAAGTGTTAAAGCTGCAAGATCTATGTTTTCAAATATGATGGTGAAAGATGTAATTACTTGGAATGCGCTTATTGCTGGATGTACACAAAATGGAGAGAATGAAGAGGCACTTGCACTCTTCCGTCTTTTGAAAAGGGAGTCTGTTTGGCCTACACACTACACATTTGGCAATCTCCTCAATGCTTGTGCAAATCTTGCTGATTTGCAGCTTGGCCGACAGGCTCACTCTCATGTTTTAAAACACGGATTTCGATTCCGATATGGAGATGAGTCAGATATTTTTGTTGGGAATTCTCTAATAGATATGTATATGAAATGTGGATCAGTTGAGAATGGTTGTAGGGTGTTTGAACATATGTTGGAAAGGGATTGTGTGTCATGGAATGCTATGATAGTTGGATATGCACAAAATGGTTTTGGCAATAAGGCCCTTGGAATTTTCAGTGAAATGTTAGAATCAGGAGAGAAACCAGATCATGTAACAATGATTGGTGTTCTGTCTGCCTGTAGTCATGCCGGGCTGCTCAATGAAGGCCGCCATTACTTTCGATCGATGCGTGCACGACATGGTTTGGTACCGTTAAAGGATCATTATACATGTATGGTTGATTTACTTGGGCGAGCTGGCTGCCTTGAAGAAGCAAAAAATCTAATAGAGGAGATGCCAATGCAACCTGATGCTATCGTTTGGGGATCATTGCTTGCGGCTTGTAAAGTCCATAGGAACATAAAATTGGGGGAATATGTAGTGGAGAAGCTTTTAGAGGTAGATCCTGAGAATTCTGGGCCATATGTTCTTCTCTCTAATATGTATGCTGAACGTGGAGATTGGGGGAATGTTGTGAGAATAAGGAAGCTGATGAGACAGAGAGGAGTGGTTAAACAACCAGGTTGCAGTTGGATTGAAATTCAGGGTGAGTTGAATGTTTTTATGGTTAAAGATAAAAGACATGCAAGGAAGCAAGAAATCTACATGCTGTTGAGGACACTTTTACAGCAGATGAAACGAGCTGGATATGTCCCATATGTTGGCAATGACGAGATTGATGAAGAACAATAGAAGGTACATGACAAACCCTCGTCTTACCCGATTGAAACGCTAGATACAGATGACTACATTTCTTTACTTAATTTTGTGAGATCCCACATTGGTTGAAGAGGATAACGAAACACCTTTTGTAAAGGTGTGGAAACCTCTTTCTAGCAGACATGTCTTAAAAACCTTGAGGGGAAGCCAAAAGAGAGAGCTCAAACAGGACAATATCTGCTAGCAGCGAGCTTAGGGCGTTACAAATTTAAATAAGAAGATGTCCTTATTTTGATGACCTTTTTAACTAACTATGCATGTTAGGTTATGTTTTCACTTATAAAAATGCATAGATCATTGTTATCCTCATTGAGGATGTATCTCATTCAATCACATTCACATTCTGAGTGTTTAAATTTATATTTAAAATATCTAAACAAATATATATAGTTTGAAAGGTTCATTAGATATATTAAATAAATAAATAAATAAAAAATATATATATATATACATTTGATATATTAAATAGGTTAAATATAAATGAAGAATTTGAAGTGTTTAAATATAAGCCTCCTATTTAATATATATAAAGGAAGAATTTGAAGAGTTTAAATATAAGCCTCGTATTTAATATATCTAAACAAATACATTAATTATTTGAAATTTGAATAAGATTAAAATTAGTTAAATATATATTAAGATATTTATCCTATTTAAATATAATTTGAATAAGATATTTAAATATATTATAATCTTTACATAGTACTTTTATTTTAAGGGAAGACAGTACTTTTATTTTAAGGGAAGACAGTACTTTTATCTTAAGGGAAGACTACATTGATCTGTCACATTCTCAAAAAACTTCCTCTTTTTAAATAATTCTCTTTAAACTCTCTTGCTCTAATTTTGTTTGGATACTCTTACTCCAATTCTTTTGAGATTTTCTTATTTCTATAAAGGTATATTTTTACTCTCATACTTATTATTTTATTTTAATTATTAATAAAATCAAAATGTTCCTTCCATGCATTTTCTTTTTATTATTATTATTATTTTTTTTAAATATTAGCAATTTGCTTTCATATCATGCATTTTGATTTTATTAATATTATTTTTTTAAATATTAGCAATTTGCTTTCATATCATAATATTAATAAGGGTGTTTTGAATGAAACTTTTTAAAATTGAAAATATCTTTTTAAAAAAGCAAAATAGAAGGTTGAAGGCTAATTTTTTAAAAACACGAATATTATAGACCCAGCTCTTTTATATGGGAAACTTGCCTCATTTGTAGAATTTCCCAGCCCTACGCCATTTATCCCTCACGCCGTCTCCTCCTCCCTTTCAGCAAGCCAGTGTCTCGCCGTAGCTGCCTCCCTCTCGTCTACTGCTGTTATCGCCGTCGTCTTTTACCCGATCGTGCTGCCGCAGGTTTGCACTGGTTTTCTAATTTCTTGTTGTTACTGGTATTCTCCCAACCTCCGTCTATATGTTTTCTCATTTGAAAAACATAATTTAGGAATTTTTTAATGAACGAATGTAGGTGCTGTTTTGATTTCCTTTTAACAACCATAGCCGATAGGAAGAAAGAAAATC